AATCTAAAATTAAAAAATGATAAATTATTAATAATTAATGTGAATTATAAATATACAATAATTACGGCAATAAGTGTGGATTTATTGAGTGTAGCGAACCCTCCGATAGTGAACCCAAATGTACGCGTATTTCGCATAACATTCACAAATAATAGCCATTCCTTGTGCTCCCATTCCGATAGCATATCCACATTCATATCGTCCAAAACGGACATAATGTCCCGTGTAAATGAGGTTTATGCAGGCGTATAATTTGTGCTCCGTTAGTTAACATACCGTGTGCTGCACGATGATTTTGAGTGGTGGTCCCGATGCGGCACATAGGCCCCGTGGAGCGAGTAATACCTGTATATGAATATGCAAAACATTATGTTGTAAATGGTGTTAATCGTGTTGAAAGCCATTATCAAGCTTAATCTTTTATCAACTTCATTGATCGTATCGTTAATGGTGACAAACATTTGTTTGTATTCGTATAGGTTGTCCAACTTCCTGTGACCTAGTTCAAAGTATTAGGTATAAAAATTGTATTAACACATTGTTACATAAATATGACTAAACTTTATAAAATTTATAACTTGTAACAAAATTATAAGCACTGCTATATACAGAGAGTTATTTAAGAATATTTCAACCTGTTAATTTAATACTTGTAACACATTTTGATAGGTGTTTGTATAAATAATCTAGCAAGTTTCCACAATACGCCGATACCGCCCACATAAATGTCGGTGCAATCCACGCCGTATACATTGTCACTAAAAACTCAAAGTTTCCTGCTAATATATATATACTAGATGTCGACTTAAGCATCAGGTACACGTCCATACATATAATAATGATAGTGTGTGACAACCAAATTGTAAAGATCCAGCACAATTCAGCGTTAATTTTACGGGTCAATCCGGAATACATACGAAGCTTATAGTATACAATGCTACACAGATTGTAGCCATGACGATTTATAAAGTACACGATATATGCCTTTTGTAATCTGACCAAGGTACTCAACACCAAAATTATGTATTGCGTAAATGAGCCACCAAAAAACTGACTCGTACTACCACTATTACCAAATGTTATATAATAGATCATGATCATTTCAAATGCCAATAATGAGCTTGCATTGTAATAACCGTAATATTTCCAGAATTTATTCACAAATAATCTGCCCTTGCTATCATAATCAAATCCACCATACGGTAAGCCGGTAAGCCTATTGAACCAGACTATTGACCTGGATATGCGGGCAAAGTTATTATTTAAAAGATTTAGCATGATAAATTCATAGAAACACTGCTAATAAAATTATTAAAAATTAATGTTTTAAAAAAATAAATTTTATGAGCTTATGTTATTATTTAATGTATAAACAAGAATTTGTAAATATTTTATTTAATCAATAGTTCATATTCATAACACATTTACGTAATAATGTATTTATTTATTTGTATCATACAATACTAGTATAACATATAAAAATGCATACTTGTATGATTTATTAATACATACATATTTATTAATGTTGTATAAATAATTATCTAACAACCTTTATTGATTTTAATATTTACATTGCATATTTTCATACACCAATTTAATCAAATTAATTTGTTTTGTAATAATATATGTTGTTACCCTAAAATGTATACAACAAATAAAATTACTTAACTGATAAGTAACTCAAATCAATAAATTCACAATAATTCTGAAAATGCACTATTGCAATATTATCAGTAAACATTATGTTTATATATCAATATAACAATTATTTTTATTGTACTATAATTGTAGGCATATCACCATAATCAACTACTAGGTAAGCCTAAACTAGTTCATGTATGTAAGGTGCTTAAGTGCGAGTGTTATACCAGTACTTATAATAATAATATAACTGTAAATATAAAAGTCTCGCCAAAACTCTTTACACTAGATTATTTAAATTAAATATATGTTAGGATTGAACTAGAACAAAATAAAATTTTTTGCAACTATTGTTTTTAGGGACCATTACAACCATATGACCCTTTCCATCCAGATGTGAAGGGAACGGTATCCTGCAAATCAATATTTCCTATGAATTTAATTTTTACAGGTAAAGGTGTAAAACAATAAGATTAATTAATTAAATGATAAATTAATTGCATAGGAAATATTGATTTACAGAATAGAGGGTTTGTTGTCCTTGATACACTATTCGTGCCAGCAAATGATTTTTAGTATTTTGAAAGATCTTTCGAACCCTGCTGAGAGAACCCAGATACATTGACCCATTGCTGAGATAACTACGTCTAAAAATGTCAATTTTTGACATTTAAGGAATTTTTAAAAATCAACGGAGTAAAATTTCGACAAATCCAGAAATTACTTTTCTAGGAATTACCTCGCGCATCATTTCCAAAAATCAGAACTTTAATATCACTTATAGTTTTTGTGATCTCAACATCCCATTCCCCATACCGTTCCCTTCACATCTGGATGGAAAGGGTCATATGGTTGTAATGGTCCCTAAAAACAATAGTTGCAAAAATTTTTATTTTGTTCTAGCTCAATCCTAACATATATTTAATTTAAATAATCTAGTAACAAGAGTTTTGGCGAGACTTTTATATAAGGTTTATTGTAATTGGAATATTATATTCCAATTTATTTAAGTATACCTATATATCAGTGTATTGGGCATAATTAATTGTATTTCATAAAAATAGAATCATTACATTATATTATTTAGCTAAATCATATCCAATTCTTAAATAAAGGCATTAGTATGTGATTTATGTTTTGAATCACAAAAAATCTCCAATATTTTTTATAATAAATCAAAATATTAAATATTAATCTGTAATATTTATAAGAATTTTAATTTTTAATCCAAAATGTATTTACATTTTAAGCACATTTACTCCAAATACGTCCGCATATTAAACACGAGGCAATCAATTGTATGGCACACGACGTGCTACTAAAACTCACCACCAGGGCTACGCCGTGTATCCGGGGCACCTCGCTCATTATGGACAGTATGAATATGCAAAACATTATGTTGTAAATGGTGTTAATCGTGTTGAAAGCCATTATCAAGCTTAATCTTTTATCCACTTCATTGATCGTGTCGTTAATGATGACAAACATTTGTTTGTATTCGTATAGGTTGTCAAATTTTCTGTGACCTAGTTCAAAGTATTAAGTATAAAATTTTATTAATACATTGTTACATAATATGAATAAACTTTATAAAATTTAAACACTGCTATATAAAGTTAGTTAATTAAAATATATTTTTACCTGTTACTTTAATACTTGTAACACATTTTGATAGGTGTTTGTATAAATAATCTAGCAAGTTTCCACAATACGCCGATACCGCCCACATAAATGTCGGTGCAATCCACGCCGTATACATTGTCACTAAAAACTCAAAGTTTCCTGNTGCAATCCACGCCGTATACATTGTCACTAAAAACTCAAAGTTTCCTGCTAATATATATATACTAGATGTCGACTTAAGCATCAGGTACACGTCCATACATATAATAATGATAGTGTGTGACAACCAAGTTGTAAAGATCCAGCACAATTCAGCGTTAATTTTACGGGTCAACCCGGAATACATACGAAGCTTATAGTATACAATGCTACACAGATTGTAGCCATGACGATTTATAAAGTACATGATATATGCCTTTTGTAATCTGACCAAGGTACTCAACACCAACATTATGTATTGCGTAAATGAGCCACCAAAAAACTCACTCGTACTACCACTATTACCAAACGTTATATAATAGATCATGATCATTTCAAATGCCAAAAATGAGCTTGCATTGCAATAACCGTAATATTTCCAGAAATTATTCACAAATAATCTGCCCTTGCTATCATAATCAAATCCGCCATACGTTAAGCCGGTAAACCTATTGAACCAGACTATTGACCTGGATATACGGCCAAAGTTATTATTTAAAAAGTTTAACATGATAAATTCATAGCCACACTGATAAAAAAAATTATTAAAAAGTAATGCTATAAAAAATAAATCTTATGAGCTTATGTTATTATTTAATGTATAAACAAGAATTAGTAAATATTTTATGTAATCAATAGTTCATATTCATAACACTTTTACGTAATAATGTATTTATTTATTTATATCATGCAATACTAGTATAACATATAAAAATGCATACATGTATCATTTATTAATGCATACATATTTATTAAAATTGTATAAATAAGTATCTAACAACCTTTATTAATTTTAATATTTACATTGCATATTTTCATAGACCCATTTAAGCAAATTAATTTGTTTTGTAATAATATATGTTGTTACCCTAAAATGTATACAACAAATAAAATTACTTAACTGATAAGTAACTCAAATCAATAAATTCACAATAATTCTGAAAATGCACTATTGCAATATTATCAGTAAACATTATGTTTATATATCAATATAACAATTATTTTTATGGTATCATAATTGTACGCATATCCCCATAATCCCCATAATACTGTAAGTAAACCTAAACTAGTTCATGTATGTAAGGTGCTTAAGTGCGAGTGTTATACCCGTACTTATAATAATAATATAACTGTAAATATATATATATTTGATACAGCTAGTATAATATAACTAAACAGTTAGTTTTACTGTTTGTGTTACGTCAAAAGTAACTTATACAAACTTTATTATTTTATATCTATTACACTGATTAACGTTTAATAAACTCAATTCTAATGTTTATCTAATAAATTGGTTACCATGATACAAACTATGTTTCGTAAAATAAGACTACAATATATAATTTTTAACTTAAAAGAATGTCTCTTTTATATTTATTTCACCTTGGCATATGGCTATTATAAACATAAATAAATGTTTTTAAACATTTAAAAATATCATTAATAAAACTTTGTCTAAAATATTTAACAAAGGTAATTATTTATATAATAAATTGAAATGAGTTTAAAAGGCAATAAATGTGACATATGTGGCGGAAATGCTTTTTGTAAGTAACATACAATTAACTAAAGTAATAAATATATGTTAATTAATTATTTCTGACCTAGGCAAAAACTTTGGAGCAGTATCATGCTACTCGTGTAAGGCATTTTTTAGGCGTAATGCGTTAAAACAAAAAGTATGTTTTTAAATAAAATAAAATAAATTAATTTTTACTAAATATGTTTAAATTATATTTAGAAGTTTGTCTGTAATTTCGGAAACGATTGTATGATTGAAGTGAATACGAGACGATTTTGTATTAAGTGTCGACTCGATAAATGCTATGCTATGGGAATGAATGAGGTATGACTTGTTAGCAATGTACTTTTAAAATAAATAATTAAATCTCTCTCTCTCTCTCTCTCTCTCTCTCTCTCTCTCTATGACTATAGGCTTATATGTTGACGGAAGAGGAGAAAAGTTACCGTAAATTAAATGGCATTAGAAATAGGAAATGGAAACAAAAACCGAAAGTATCCGACAATACGGTTGACTCGACCACACAAACCAAAAATAATCAAATTTCGAGTTTAAGCTATACTTCTCACACAAACACTGGACACTCAACTATGGATATCGAGAACAGAGTCACTACACAAACCATTGTTGAATGCTCTTCTAATCCATTGTTAAACTCAGTCATACCTATCAATAGACCGCTTATGGACTACAGAAACCAATTCAATGAATTAGAAGGTAGTAAACTACAGGAGCTATTGACAGCCAAATTGATATATACTGAGATATTTAAACCAATATCTGGGCAATCAATGGGAGATCTGACCACGATCCATTTCAAGGAACTTAAGCCTCAATTATTGGAGAGAAGTTTGAAAAATACAGTAACTTTTAGCCAAAGTTTACGTGAATTTAATACAATTTGCCAAAACGATAGGATTTCGCTCATAAAGTACGGCTTTTATGAATTGTATTGCTTGCGATCCGTTGCTAGCTATGACCTGACTAATGAACATTGGGCATTTGTTACGGTAAATTTATTTATTATTTACTTTAAATTTACTTTAAAATTTAAAAATATTATAGCTAACATAATAATAATATTATTATTATAAATAACATAATATAATAATAATATTATTATTATAAATTATTTAGCATATTATGTAGTTAACGTAGATTAAGATTTATAGTCCTAAATTAATAGTGCTTGTATTTTATAATTTAATAATGTTATATAAATTATGTTGTAAATTATTTTTACAAAATATCCCGTGTACTTTTCTAGGACACCAGGATAATAGTAATAATAGGTTTGGATATTATGAAGCAATTCAAACGAAACGCCTATAAGTTGTGCAAAAGGTTTATGAAAAACATATCCCGGGAGTGGGACTCCGATGATGTGGTGCTTAACCTGGTATGTAAACCTTTATAAACTAGTATACTTTAATATTTAGTATAGTATTAAGTATATAAATAACGAATTTTAAATTTCATCAATGTTAATTATCACATAATAGTTAACGGCAATCATATTATATAACCCAAATCGACCGGACCTTATACACAGGGATAGTGTCAAGTATGTTGTGATTGCCAAGTATTTTGCAATATATGTATGTATTTTTAAAATATTTTTTTAATGTTTAATAGGTATCAACAGCTGTTATATCAGTATTTACTTCAAAGATATTTATTATTGAGATATCGGAGTGAATCCGAAGCACAATATAAATACACAAAACTTATGAATACTTTACGGGATTTGAAAGTGTTTTCACAAATACAGAGACTTAATATCCGGGAACTGAATGCCGATATATTATACTATAATGTATTGAAAGAGGTTTTTGATAACAAATAAAGACCATGAATACATTTACTAATATTGTATAAATTATACATAAGAATTGCACCTGAATCAAACAATACGAAAACATGACCTAATTCATGTATATACTGTAAATGACTAGTAATTAAGTTTAAAACATTATAAAGAATTTATAAAACGTTACATACAATACTACCAATATTGTAACCATGGCGGTTTACAAAGTACATGATATAGTTTTTTTCTAATCTGACCAAGCAACCTGCTAGGTTGTAGTCATTCTTTAAACAATTTATAAAATATCTGTTAAGCAGACAAGTAATGAATTATATTTGAATTGTGATTAGGCTTAAATCATAGTGTAGCTATTAGGGCTAAAATTATATAGCAATATTAATTATGAAACATTTGTATACCCATGATGTCCTTCTGGCCAAGCTCAATTTGTAATATTTGTAACCCAGACCATGAAAATAGTTTGCGACTTTATATGCCAAACGTTATACCTGTGAACGTATTTAATTACACTATTGACCTTGATATACGGACAAAGTTAATATTTATAAAATTTAACATGATAAATTCAAAGAAACAAATCTAATATCATAAAAATTGTACACAATAAATAGTAATATGATATAAATAAATCCTATTGATTAAATTAAAATTTATTTTACAAACCAGAATTAATTAATATTTTATTCAATTAATGTGATATGTCAATTTAATAATGTGTATTAATGAAAATCTTACTTAATATTAATTTATTTATATCATACAATAGTAATAAATTTTATAAATATAAATAATGTTATAACAATTGTTAGTGATTTTGATGTTAACATTAAATATTTTTATACATTAAATGAATCAACTTAATTTTTATTAAATTAATTATTTGCTTTAAAAGTATATCTGATAGGTATACTGTATACACGTAAGTTATATGTAAAGTTTGAAGCAATATTGTAAGATTAAGATTAAAGCTTTTTTCTAATACACTTATCGAAATATCCTATTAGGTATTATATGATAAGTTAAATTACTAAGCTAAAATATATAAATAACTTAAATCAGTGAATTCCCAATAACTTTTAAAATGCACCCTATTTGCAATCTTATCATCAATACGTTTGTTTATTGTCTTGATCATTTAATTATATTTATTATTATCATCGGAATTGCACCAAAATCACCGTATTAAGTAAACTAGTTCATGATAACTGACCTTAAGTGCAAATATTATACGTGTACTTATAATAATAATTCAGGTAGTTTAAAAATAGTTAGCTTTCCAGTTGGTGTTACGTCAAATATAACTTGTTCAAACTTTATTATCCGATGTCTAGTGCACTGCCTAACATTTAGCAACTTTGATTGTATTGTTTATTTAATCACAATATTATCAGGATACATATTTTATTACGTTTGATACTGTAACAATTTTCAACTTAAGTGGATGGCCTATATACCATATATCCCCTATAAATATTTACTTTGCCCTGGCACATTGTTATCAAAAACATATAAATAGAAGTTTCTAAAAATTTAAAAATTCATTAATAAAACATTGTTTAAAATATTTAGCAAAGCTAATAATTTTTATAATAAGTTGCCATGAGCTTAAAAAGCATTAAATGTGATATATGTGGCGCAAAGGCTTATTGTAAGTAGGGTACCATATACGAAAATAATAACTATATAATAATCATTAATTTCTGACCTAGGCAATAACTTTGGCGCATTGTCGTGCATACTCGTGTAAAGCATTTTTCAAGCGTAATGTGTTAAAACAAAAAGTATTTATTTAATTAATAACTTACAATATTGTAAACAAATAAATGAATGTTTTGGTTATAATTAGAAGTTTGTCTGCAATTTCGGAAATAACTGTACGATTGATGTCAAGACCAGAAGATTTTGTATTAAGTGTCGACTCGACAAATGCTATGCTATGGGAATGAATGAAGTATGACTTGTTAGCAATGTACTTTTAAAATAAATAATTAAATCTCTCTCTCTCTCTCTCTCTCTCTCTCTCTCTCTCTCTCTGACTGTAGGCTTATATGTTGACCGCAGAGGAGAAAAGTTACCGTAAATTCAATGGCATTAGGAATAGGAAACAAAAACCGAAAGAATCCGATAATACGGTTGACTCGACCACACAAACCAAAAAGAAGCAAAAGATTTGGAGTTTAAGCTATACTTCTCACACAAACACTGGAGACTCAACTATGGATATCGAGAACCGATTCACTATACAAACCATAGTTGAAAAATCTGGTAATCTATGGCTAAACTCAGTCATACCTATGCGGCGACCGCTATTGGACTATAGAAACCAATTCAATGAATTAGAGTTCAATAAACTACGGGAGCTATTGACTGCCAAATTGGTATATAGCGAGACATTTAAACCAGTACCTGGACAATCAAAAACAAAATATATCATGGTCCATTTAAAGCAATTTAAACCTGTGTTATTTAAGAAACACTTGAAACATACCATAACCTTTAGCCAAGGTTTGCGTGAATTTAATACAATTTGCGAAAACGATAGGATTTCACTCATAAAGTACAGCTGTTTGGAGTTGTTTTATATGCGATCTGTTGCTAACTATGACCTGGCTAATGAACGTTGGACATTTGTTAAGGTAAATTAATTTATTATTAGCTGGTGTCAATTAAAAAATATTTTGTTGTAATAATAGTGCTTGTATTTTATAATCTAATAACGTTAAATAATTTTTACAAAATAATCTATGTACTTTTCTAGGACACCAAGACAATAGTAATGATAGGTTTGGATATTATGAAGCAATTCAAACGAAACGCCTATAAGTTGTGCAAAAGGTTTATGAAAAACATATCCCGGGAGTGGGACTCCGATGATGTTGTGCTTAACCTGGTATGTAAACATGTTTATTAAAAACTGATTTATTGACTAGTATAACTAATGAATTTAAAATTTAATCAATGTCAATTACCACATAACAGTTAACCGCAATCATATTATATAACCCAAATCGGCCGGACCTTATACACAGGGATAGTGTCAAGTATGTTGTGATTGTCAAGTATTTTTGTATTTAAAAAAGTATTTTATTTTAAATGTTGAGTAGATATCAACAGCAGTTGTATCGGTATTTACTTCAAAAATATTTATTATTGAGATATCGGAGTGAATCCGAAGCCCACTATAAATACACAAAACTTATGAATACATTAAGGGATTTGAAAGTGTTGTCACAAATACAGAGACTTAATATCCGGGAACTGAATGCCGATATTTTACACTACGGAGTGTTGAAAGAGGTTTTTGATAACAAATAAGACCATGTATATATTTACTAATATTGTATAAATTATACATAATGTATATGTAATTAACTACTATACATCATACTATGAGATTTGTAATATAATTCTTTATTAATTTAAAATTATTGTAAAACTAACAAAATATTTACATTATAATGGCTATTTATTAAACTGTTTTGAAATATAAAATTTAAATTATGATAACTATATAATAAAATTACATATTTAAATATAACTTGCATCACTTTTTCCACCTATACGAATTTTATTATGAACTAGATATATTTTGTATTTCATTGCAGTTCAGTGAAAAGTTTTCTTACAGTCAAATAAGCCGTTAATAGATTACTTATATTTATATTACTGTATGTAGTTATAATGAGTGCGGGTCTATTGACCTAAAAACCAATTGACCTAAACTTAAATAACTTAATGACCAGTAGGTAAATATACCTGATGACCAGTGTAAAATGTTCCCCTTGACCTAACCTAACCTTACCTATCCTTACAATGGTCAAAAGTCTATTGGTCATTAAGTTATTTAAGTTTAGGTCAATTTGCCNCCTTGACCTAACCTAACCTTACCTATCCTTACAATGGTCAAAAGTCTATTGGTCATTAAGTTATTTAAGTTTAGGTCAATTTGCCAGTTCCCGTTATAATAGTAATGATTTGCAAAGGATTTAAATTTTTTATTACATATACAGTACAGTACTTTGCTGTACAATGACAAACATTTTTAATAAAAATAATTATTTTAATATAATATAATTATATGGCATTTTTTGTGATTATTTTTCACAAAAGTACATTGCATTTTAATCAAGGAAAATTAGTTAAGCAACAAACATGGACGACAAATTCATAATAGTAAGGGGTCAGACATTCTCTAAGATGTATGACCTTCAATGTGTTCAATACGCACTGGACTACCAGCCCGGCCCTGGTGATCGGATTTTGCTAACCTACCCGCGATCGGGTACAAACTGGACACGCTACATTATACTCTGCATATTAAGCAACGGCAAAATTATCCTTGATGGCCCCTCGCAATATAATGGCTACTTTTTGGAGGTGCATGGTGATAAAATCCTAGATCGAAAGGGTCTGATATGGGAAGGGGATGACGTGAGCACCGGTACGTTCATCGAGACCCACATGCGCTCCAAACTAATGGCCTACAGTCCGGACGCCAAGTATTTAATGGTTTTGCGAAATCCTAAAGACGTTTGCGTTTCGTTGTATCACTTCCTGAGCAAAAGGATTGGCCTGGAAATGGAGTTTAAAGCATTTTTTCGTATATTCCTATTTGGGCACCTACACCAGCATGGCGACTATTTCACCATGGCACGCCTTCAGTGGCAGCACCGGGATCACCGCAACTGTACGGTCATTACATTTGAGGAGATGTTAGCGAATCCGAGGGACAGTATTGTGAGAATCGCCTCATTCTTGGGCACCAAATATGTGGACCGACTGTACGACAGGTGCGATGATGGAGGGGACGGCGCCGGTAGTAGTCGTGACACACTATTGGATCGCGTGATACAGGCGTCCAGTTTAGGCGCTATGAGGGGCTCATTTGGTTTACAGGATCCCCATTACAGGAAAGGTATGGCCGGCGACTGGAGGGCTGTTATGTCGAGAGATGAGAGCGATTTGATTGATAAGCGGGTTAGGGATGAGTGGATGGGAACGGGTTTGGAGTCGCTGTGGGAACGGGAGATGAAGTGGTGATCCCTTAAAATTGGTAATATTAATGAAAACTTTAATTATTTTAAAATAATTAAAATGATTTCTCAATTAAAACTAAATAGTAAACACTAATTATAAAGTAATAATAGTATTATCATTGAGTAATATAATTCAGAATTTATTTTATTTTAATTTTACTTGATTATTGCATTTAATTCTGTATTTTATGTGATTAGGTTAAATTATTATTAACTATTTTAATAAACATAAGTTTGAATTGACCGTGCTTTCAACAAGTACGTAGCTTTAATAAACTAAATATATAATAAGTTTTATTAAAATATTTTTTAGTCCTAAGGTATTTAAATTTTAGTAGTCACACAAAATTATGTATTTCCTAATATACAGTACTGTATTGTATTAAAAATATTTTTTACAAACCTAATTGTATTACGTTTTGGTGATAAGTTTCTCATTAAAATGTATTATAAAAATAATCAATTTCTTTTAATAAATATAATGTATTGTTTTATATTTATAATAGTCGTCTATAATGTATTTTATTGTTTGTTAAAATATAAAATATTATTATTAAAGGTTTTATAATATAAAATATATTATAAATTACTAGTATGCATACAAAAACTTTTAGCGTTATTAGGTTAAACTAGTTATAATGATTTAAATCACTTAATAAAAATATTATTAACATTTAATAGTCTTAAATAAAAATAAAATAAAATTCTTTATAATAATGCACTAGGAATAAGATTTATCACAAATATATTGTATCTAGTTAAATACATAATAAAGTAAATTTTAAAATATTCATTTAAAATGTCAAATCACTTAATAACTAAGTTATTTTTATTAATAATAAAATTAATACTTTATTATAATCGCGCAATTGGATTAACATTTACGGGTTTAATAATAGATAAAAACTTTAAAATCAGCCAGAATAAATTACTAAAGTATTATGGATATTTTATTTTGCTCGCAATTATAATTTTCTATCTAGTATCATTTCCGATTGCGTTTTTAAATATTCAAAGTATCGTGAATGATTTAATAGACGAAAATGTTCCCAGAGTAAATAAATTATTATTTTTGATTTTTGCCATTTTAAATAGCATCAGGCATATTGTGGTGATTTACACGTTAAATTTTAATATAAATTCTAAAATTATAACTGAATGCTTTAAAACCATCCCGATTAAATCAAACTACAAAATTATCACCGTGTTCATTATATGGTCAATATTATTGGTTATATATATTTTATTTATTGGCTACTTTATTATGACTTTACATAATGGATCCAGTTTATTGCTGGCTAACATGATATATAGTCTTTTTCAATACACAGCAACATGGTCAATGTCGTGTGTTATTTGGTTAATTGCACTAACCTTTGAGCACAAACTGGATATGATTATCACTAAGCTTGCTCATTTTAATAAAGGTAAATATAAAAATGTTGTGACAATTAAACTTTAAATAAACTTTATCAAGGCTTCTAATTTTTAATTTTATTACTAGCTAAAATTGTAAATATAATAAACACATTTTCTGTAACAAACAATACTCACAACGATATGAGCCATGTCATTTCTGAAAATGTTAATAACTATGTTAAATTAAATAAGCTCCAAGATAATATTAATCGCCAATTGAACCTCGCTATAATGTTCAAGATAATCACTCCGATATTATACATAATGTTAAGCATAAGTTCACTGGCTCACATGAACCAGATCAGTTCATTTAGGATTAATATAAATACTATGATCGTGACAACTATGCTGGATGTTTTTGATGTAATCGTAATGTGTTTGATATGCGATTCTGTTGAGCAAAAAGCTATGAAAATAAGGTCTAATTTGAATGCAATGAATACCCGGGATATGACGGACCGGGAGTTTCGGGAATGGCTTACGTTTGCGACTGTAATGCGAAATACGCGTACATTTGGGTTCACTATCGGAGGGTTCGCTGCACTCAACAAATCCACACTTATTGCCGTAATTATTATGCAATAGTTTAAAATAATTTATATATTAATAATCATTTAATATTAATTTCTTATGCTTACAGATTTTTACATTTGTTTTAAGTTACACAATCATATTGTTTCAAACATCGTAATATTGCAATTAAACAGACTACTGTAAATTTAATAAAATCTTTGGTATGCAATCATTATACTGTTATTGTCAAGGTAACTAATCTAGTTATTTTTTTATTCAATTTTAATCAATTAAATTATATGAATTTAAAAGTTTCAAAATATTTAATTTATATAACTATTACAAATAGGGTGACCAGAATGTTTTGAGAATCAAGGAGGACATTTACCATAAATGTAATTTTATGGGGAGGACGTGAAGAGGACAGGCTATTTTTAAACCAAATTAATAATTTGTATGTATACACTTAAATAACTTAAAATACTGATCAAGTAAATTCGATATATTTGTACAATATAATTAAATTTTAAATAATTAACTTTAAAAAACTACTATATTTATTGACACGATTATGACCGTTATTTGATAAAACAATAGTTAAATGTTATTCTGTCAAAAAAATATTTCATTTTATAAAACTACTTGAATTATTAGTATTTACATACTCATAATTCCTATAAAACACATAAAACTCGGTATAAAAGATACATTTTATGCGATTTATGTCCAAGGAGGACATCTCAATGTCCTCCTCAGACACCGGGGAGGACAGTGTTCTGAGGGGTCCAAAGGAGGACAATCCTCCTCACGGAGGACGGTCTGGTCACCCTAATTACAAATAAATATATTTAAAATAAATTGAATAATTGTAATAATAATCAATATTATTATATCGTGTTAATTTTGTTGATCCATACTAATTAAATTATTATGCAATAATAATTAAAGTAATAATAAAAATAACATACAATGAACATTATTCTTATTTTATTTAATATCTAAATATTTTATATTGCAAAGTAAAAGTTTTATAATAAAAATTAATTACAAAATATTATATTTATTCACAGTTATATTGTTACATAGATATTATTTATCTACCGTAATTAACTGCTTGGTAATACATTTAAGATGTATTAATATTTATGTGACATTAATTTTGTTTGTTAAATTTTTAATGTATCATCATATTACATAACTAATATTTTAAAAAATTTTATATTAATATTATAATTTTTCATTAACTTTGCACTAATTATAGAATATTATATTGCAAGCTTATTAATTTATTTAAAATAGTTAAAATACTATGCTATGACATATTTTATATATAGTGTACTTTTATATTAATGTACTGATAGTTAAAAACATTTATCCGGATCTAATTGTTTTTATGTTTAATAATATCTTTTCAATATATAATTTAGAAATAATCAATATAATTTTTAAAATATAATGTATGGTATTGTATTTTAATAGTGGTCTATATAAACTCAATTGTCTATTAAATATAACAGATAACCTCTCACCTATAATAAGTGTAAGATAATATTTTTGAAAATAAAATATCACTTGAAAATATTAATATTAGAATATTACTAATACTAAACAAAATATTATTGTTATTAAAAAATAAACATGTACATTTTATGGTCAATGTCTAATAAATTAATATTATGTAGCAAACAAATTTTGTAAATTATTAATAGTTTTATATTCAATTTTAATCAATTAAATTATATGAATTTAAAAGTTTCAAAATATTTAATTTATATAACTATTACAAATAGGGTGACCAGAATGTTTTGAGAATCAAGGAG